CACGGACATCAGTGTCCTCTAGGTTCTGCAAAGCTTCACACAGCACACTTCCACCTGGCAGCCTGGGTCCTGGCACTGTGCCCAGCTGTTCACCACACCCAGGGCTCTGCAGCACCTGAGAGCTGTGCACACATGTGTGCAAGCACAAATACAACACTCCACCCGCGTTCAGGGCATGCCTGCCTTCTGATGGGTGGGATCTCATACACAGACTACCCCAGCAAAATGAGTAAATGCCACCTGATCATCGGTAAATCACTTCCAACTGTGGCTTAAAAAGTCATCAATGTCATTATAATCATTTACACAACTACGTGGCTGTCATTGTGTTAGTGTTCCTATGTGACACTGAGTTGGGATCAACTCATAGCTGACCCTCCACCAGGGTTTCAGAGTCTGTCCATCTCATGAGGGCAGACTGTCCATCTTTCCTTCACAGGGAGGTGTTAGATTCAAACCACTTGCCTTTGGGTTGGCAGTGCAACTCCTTACCCATTAGGCCACAGAGCTTCCAACTTGTGGTAGAAGATACTAACTGGTTGTCATGTTTAGTCATTCTATGACAACTGTTACAAAAGCCTCAGGGTTAAAGGGCAAGAGTAGGTCTATAGATAGAAGTACATCAACAGTTTTTAACCTTCTATTCAAAAATTTCATTAAGATGAAAGAGAGTAGTATGCAACTCTCTTCCTGATGGGGAATCAATTCCTTTCTCTAATACCTGAGGTTTGTGAAGGTGAGCTGACTCCTGGCCTTTGGAATCCTGGACAAACCTTCAGGATCAATGGCTCAAATTCAAATCCCATTATTTCTCCCCAACATCCTCCAACCCAATACCTTTCTGGTGTGTTGTTGTTATGTTCCATCGAGTCGCTTGTGACTCATAGCGACCCTATGTATAAGAGCTCTATACGCTCTTCTATCCTGTGCCAACCTACTGTTGTTGCTATGTGCTGTCGAGTCGCTTGCGACTCATAGCGACCCTATGTACAACAGCCCTAAACTCCACTCTGTCCTGTGCCAATCGCACTGTCTCTGACACTCCCATCCGATTA